CCCCCCCCCCAACCCCCCTAAAAAGCATGGTTCAATTTGCTCTGACAGGGGGGAAAATTAGGCAATCAGATATTCCCTGGATCAACAATCTCTGTTTTTTTAACTTATAAAATGGTAATATCTAGTAATATTCTGAGCATTTAGGAATGCATCCAAACTTTTTTGTTTTGAACGGTTTATTGAACCGGCTGGAACTAGTTCCTGAGGAAGCCTATTCCACATTTTCATAGCTTTTACTGTGAAGACGCCTTTCCATATGTAAAGGTTAAACCTCTTTTCAACCAGATGCAAAGCGTGCCCCCTTGTCCTTTGAAGTGACCTTACAGTGGATAATTTTGCACCAAGCTCACTGTATGGACCATTTATTTATTTATACATGGTGATCATGTCCCCCCTTAATCGCCTCTTGAGAGAACAAATTTAGTTCAGCTAATCTTGCCTCATAGCTGAGCTCCTCCATGCCTCTCATCTGTCTAGTTGCCGTTCTCTGCACTCCTTTTTATGTGAGCTGGTTCCCAAAACTGAACTGTATATATTCCAGATGAGATCTTACTAATGCTTTGTACAGGGGCAGTATTATGTCTCTCTCTCTGGCGATATGGTTCATGTCCAATCGCACAACTGACCAATAGATCCCAAAACCTGCAGTGACATGTGGTTGGCGCCACACTTGAAAGCAACAAGGAGAAGAGTAATCGGGACTCCAACTGTGATGCAACCTTGTCCTTTAATGATGCAAGTTCATAATATCACAAAACAAACAACATTTTGGAGCCGCGTAGGAAGCCTTCATCAGGCAAACAATGTGATGAGATGATATTTTTTGCCTGATGAAGGGTTCCTATGTGGCCCCCGAAAGCCATTGGAGTGCAGGTGACTCCTTATTCCTCTCTCTGGAGATTCAGCATAAAGAATCATGGAATATCAACAGCATATTACAACAAAGTGACCACATGTATTCAATAAAATGTATCTAAAGCCAAAACATGTTTTTTTAGTTTTGGATAGAGCAGAGCTTGGTTAAACTCTTGCCCCATTGGCCCTGTATACACAGAATGAAGTATGAGGAAATCTCTCCAAAGTGAGGGGGAAAGCCCCTCTTAGGAAGCTGTTACCAGAATAGGAGCCTCCATTCAAACCTTCCCCTGATTTAGTGACAGCTGTCAGACGTTGGATTTTCCCTCACTTTCTGTCCCCATGACAATAGTAACCAGAACAAAGAAGGAGACTGATTCCTCACAACGGGGACACGGCAGAAAGAAACCTGGTAGCTCTATTGAAAACTTAAATAAAATGTTTGGCTTTATTTCAATCATAAGGGCCTATTTACCCTTGTGGTGGGTTAACATATGCCATGTTGTGTGTTAATGTTCAGTCCGTTATGACAGCCCCTTCATTGTGAATGAGCTGCCAATGCACCACAATGGCAAAAAGGCCCATGATCCTTTTCTACCAACTCAGCACACCAGAACACATGGTATGTAACTGTGAGTGAGTTGTGTATTTCTGTACAGTACATAGGTGTGCCATTCACAATGAATTGCATCATATAGAGCAGATGCCTTGCCGTACTGCGTGTGCATTTAACTTGTGTTGCCACAATGGGCCCTCATGCTGCTAAGATAAATGTGTGCAGATCCTAAGGATGTTTAAACCCACATGCTGCTGTATTCTCTACTACAATAGCTGGCACTCTTCCACAGAATTCTGCTTTCTAACATTACTTGTTATCCTAGATGTGACGATTATTAGATACATTCTGCTATATTAAAATATATCAGCTCTCTGTATTAGTTGATGTGTGTAACAAGTCAAATCAAAGAACTGTTGATTGCATGCTGATTTCATACTATTTCTGTTGGGGATTGTAGCCGCTTTCTGTGTGAGTCTGTACAGTGCAACCTCCCTCTCATGTTCCAGTGAGTGAGCAAGCTTGCAGTGTACTCAGGGTAAACCATTGTACACACTGTCCTACACTACTGCAGGGGACTATTAGGTAGAACCATCACTTGCATCAGGCACAACTTAAAGGAAATGCATAACGCTTCTGAATATATTTCCTTTCTTTCTTATGTACAAGACAAAAAAATTAAAGTATTTTATTATTTTATTTAGCTAACACCAGGAAGCTGAAATCTGACTGCACTTTAAGGCCCCATTCACACCTGAGTGTTATGTGACTCGAAGCTTGAAGCTACAAAACACTTGATGACTCTTCTTGCTGTGCCACATTACACTGATATAGACTGCAGCAGCGCAGTGTTTAATTTAAAGCTGCCTTCGGGTCGGTGGGGAGGATTATAGCTAAGAACCCTGGGTAGGGTTGCCACCTTTTCTTCAAGTGAAACCCAAACACTCTAGCGCCACTAAAAAATGTTTGGGGAGAATAGAGAGAGAGTGAGGAGAGGCAGCTAGGGGAGGGAGTAATGAGACCATCTATAGAGAACTGCAAATCCCTGCAATACATTATCCAGCAATACAAAATAATGTGAAGCGACATACTCTGTGCTGTTCTGAGTTGGCGCCCTGATGTCTTCAGGTGGCCTGGTGATTTGTACTGTTGTAAGATAGAAAAGGGACTTACAATGCTGATGTCCTCATGCCCTCTTCTTCCTCTCCAGGTGGTGGGGGGATCGATATTTCCACCATGTAAAGCCCCAAGCTGCCTTCTCTGCAGGTCCTGTCCAGCTCTCCTAAGATTCACAGGCAGCCAATGGCGGTGCTGCACTCTCCCTCCCAGCCAATAGCAGCTGAGGAGGGAGGAGAAAGGCACATGTGACCGCTGATGAGGCAGAGGAGCCCGTAAGTGAATCGGGCAGGGAGAAATGTTTACCCTTGCAGCGGCAGAGCTGACAAGGGAGAGCAGCAGCAGCAGCAGCAGCTGCTTTCTAAGGGGGATAAGAAGAAGGGAGGAAGAGGAAGTTCCGGCGGTGCGGCTGCTCAGATCGGGCTTGACAAGGACCTCAGCAGCCGCACCTGTCAGAAAATTTAAAGTGCCGGTGTCGGCACGTCCACGGAGTGTGATGTGTCCGGGTGCCCATTGGCGGGGCACCCGTACACAACACACCAAAATCGGACTGTCCGGTTGAAAACCGGACGGGTGGCAACCCTAACCCTGGGTGAAAATTGTAGACTAAATTCACTCATGAGCTACATGCCTCTCTCGGCTCTCTTCGTGTTACTCCCAGCAGCCCCTCTGCAGGTGCTCACTGCCCGCCTGCAACTTGAGGCACGATACACTATGCAAAACCATGGAAAAATACAGAGGTTGCTGAAGTTAGATTATTCAAGTGTATGGCATTGATATAAATTCTTAGGCACTAGTTTTGGGGTTTTTTTTAACCACCAAGGCCCACTAAGACTCATCATATCTGGATGTTATGCGCCAACAATGGTTGGTAGTCTTCAGCTCCTGATACTTTATCTTACCAGACATTCCCTGCTTTATTCCTACCTTACACGAAAGTAAGAATACAAATTCAAAAAAATAAAATAAAATCCAATAACAAAGACAATTATTACCAATTCTAATATGGCAACTAAATCGTTTTTTTTTTTAAAATCACTATTTAACCACCTGGCTAAATTCTATTTAATCACCTGGCTAAATTAAATTAAAGTCAGCCCCAATGCAAAGTGCAGTAAGTCATAGCAACTAATCAGAATAATATATATACAAACACACAGTTTCAAGCTACCTAGAAAAAACCTAACCAATCTGTTTTTTATTACTCAGGTTAAAAACATGTACGTTTGCAAATGTACATGGAAACCACATTGCCGCTGCCACTACAAGACTCCTCTGGTAAATGTGGTCCCTAACCTCGAACTATATTTATATTAAAATAAAGAGATCTCTCTCTCTC